TCCCCGCGCGGCTCCTCGGCAGCCCCGGCCCTTCCCCGGCCCTGCTTTCCATCGGGGCGCCCGCGCTGGTTTGGTGCGCCTCCCTAGATGGAGCAGCGTTCGCTCTGCAGGAGCAACGGAGCGCCAGCTCCTGAAGATGTAACGATGCACAAGGGGGAACTGGATGGTTGACGTTCTGCCTCACTCCTGTTTTGTATTTGCTCTGGGACGGCAAAGCCGGATGGGTCCCTTTCTGCCGCTCGCGGCTGCAGCGCTGGGGAACCTCACGATTTCCAGGAAACCGTTCCCTTCTCCTTCGCCTTCCTGCTTTTGCAAGCGTTTTCAAAGTGCTAGACCAGGAATATTAGGAAGCCTGAGCCTCCTAGGCTACGTAAAGCCCGTTTCCTCCCTACGCCCAAGGCGTTGAAGCCAGACCCCCGCCAGGAGCTGCAGGCGCAGACTTATTTACAGCGCCCCGTTCCAGCAGAGCTCTGCTGCCCGCCGTGCAGTCGCGGCCATGCAAACGCGCTCCAGCCGGGGGGGCCTCGCGACGGCCTTATCGCTTCCCCACCCTCCGCGGGGCTTAAGCGGAGTTTATTTCTGGGCAATTTTATGTAAGCCAAGGAGAACTCATTTCCTAAAATAATAGTTGGTGCTGACACTGGCAACGTGCTCCGGGTGCTGCTGGTTGCAAGTAAATCTGCCGCCCTGGGGAGCTGACAACACGGATTTCACCCCGGCGCAGCGAGCCTGCTTGACATATATTCAAGGGCTGACGTGGGATATAAATCATGCAGTAACTTCTCCCTGGCCCGGAGCTCGGGGGTGCGTTGAGTCCTGGGGCACGGGCTTAGAGGCAGCCATCTCCGTGGCTTTGTCAAAGAGCTGGAGTTAAAGCGTCCCGCGGAGGCTTTCGTTGAACAGATAGTAACAAAAGCCCGACGCATCCAATTCCATGCGGCGAGGTGACTCACGCAGTCAAATTAGATTTCCTAAGTGGTTTCCTTCCAGGGAGCCAGATGAATGGAGCTTCCATTCTCCTACGAATTGTTTGTGGTTGACTAAAGAGAGATTAACGTGGTGGCTAGAGCCAAGAGGAGATCCCATTAAGATCAGGGTTAGGGAGGCCAGGGCGCCTGAGAGCAGAGTGTGACCCTAAGGCTTTGTTCCAGAATAGTCTGAGCGTCGTTACCAACCGCAGCGCCGACCTTGGGAACGCGTGTAAAACGCTCCGGCCGGCCGCAGGGTGCGGGATGCCAGGGTGGCGTTTTATCATAGCTAGGAGTTAATTACTAGTCCACGTCCGGCGCTGACGCCGGGCCCCACGCCGCGCGACGAGACGCAG